ATCTAAAAAAGAAGAAGGACAAGTAACATTATCACGAGCTCCTACTAGGATTCAGAAGTTATGCTTGCGGGTTTTAATGATTTATTTATTCCCAAAATAGCTATCATTATTCCCATTTGATAGAAGAAGACACCGAGGTGTAGGCAGTAATTTGTACAAGGTTACACAACTCGTCCAGTGAAGAACCAGGAGGAGAAACTAGAGCCAACATGCTACTGTTGTCCTATGCTAACAGAAAAAAAAGTAGTGGTTAAATACTCAGTTTTAATGAATGACTAGGGACTCTAAAAATGAATAAATTATTATTCCTTCTGAAAGGTAAAACTTTTAAAATTAGGACTCATTGTACAAAGGATCATCTTGGTAGTTTAAAATTCTGAATTGAGGAATACTTTCAAATAAATGTGTGCTTACAATTGTCAAATATGTACCAGAGTTCTCAACTGCTCATATGGCAAAATAATAGGAAGTTTGTCACTCTTTCAGGAAAAATGTAGAATATTAGTATTATTTAATGAATTTAAAATGATAGCATATACTTTTCTACCATGTAAGTTACTATCTTATTACTAGATGAGTTCTAGTACCAAAAATCTAAGAAAAATTACTGGGGAGAAAACTTAAAATTATTTTTCAAAAACCTCTCTGTTAATTAATTTTTCCCTATGAATGTCATATTTTGATTAGGGAGTAAAAGACAAGGAAATCTTAGTTTGAGAAACATTTGCAGACATTAAAATAATTCCTACTAATAAAGATCTTAGTCTATATTCTCAGGGAATAGATACACTTTTAACATTTTTGATAATCTCTAATATGGTACATAAGTAAGTTCAACATGTCTCCCTTCTCTACTAAAAGCCTTAGTACTCTTATACTTCAAAATAAAAGTACTTCCATTGCCCACTAGTGTCCAAGTTGCCTGAGAAGAGGACTTGATCCACAGTACTTAGTAAACCTCATGGTATATTCTCAAAATAACCAAATTGGAAACTAGCGAAAGTTTAATTAATGAGGCTTTACCAATATGAAGAACACCTGAGCAGTAGGTGACTTTCAAACAGGAAGATAACTTCCTGTATTAAGGAAGATAACTTTGATGTTCCTTGTGTTCCCTGACCTATGAGCATCAGATTGACTAAGGTCTTCAGTGCATAAGTGCATATAACATGTAAGAACAGGATCCCTTGCTGTCCAGAGAAACAGGGAAGGTGCCAAGCAGCATCTCCTATTGAACTGTGGGAGTGTCAACTTTAGCTTGGGGAAGACAGTGAGCAATGACATTTCTACTACTACTGGATTCATGTCTTGCTGCATGCCAAGGAATATGTGTTCTCATCGGAAATGATCTTAATGGTGGCTGATTGTACAGGTCAGGGTACAAAGACTTAACCATAATCTGATAGTCTACACAGAACGATGACAGTTAATGTTATGATTATCGTCCTGGAAAAATTTTCACATTGTCTCTATGGCAAAATGTACTCCAAACTCAAAACAATTTAAACAGTGATCTACTGGAAGACAACTCATTTATGACTTACTTCCTAAAATATGCTGGGAACAACATGTGAACTAAAAAAGACAAACCAGATAAAGAATTTAGCAACTGGTAGCTCGGTGTGCCCAATTTTTTCTCCGCTGTATTTGAATCTTTTTTTTTTCCTTAACGCAGTATTTATTTGCTTTGGATTCTTTAAACCTTTCCTCAGTTTTTGATTTGTTTACTAAATTCTCCATTATATTGCATTAGTCATTTCCCTCAAATGGATATTTTGGATTATTTTCCTCCATCATTGTGAGCCTACATAATGGATCAATTTTCATTGGTTTCTTTTGCCTTCACCTCCTTTTCCCCCCTATTGTTTACCTTTCCAAGTTTTTATTTGATTTAAAACAAAGCCCAAAAAAGTCAAAACTTTGTCACCTTTTGATAGTTTAGAAATACAATGTTGTCTTACAGCTTTCATTCAGGCCATCAGTTCAGAAACATAATTTAGCCTCAAGTTTCTGCTATGTCCCCAAATTCCCCTCATTCATATTTTTTTTCAAAGCTTTCTAACAATGAAAACTTAGCCACCCGAGGCCACTGACCCAGGAAACTCTTTGGCAGGAACAATAGCTGACGCAATCTTTTAGATGAAGCCACAAAATTTCCCTTGTTCCACAAGAATGGATCATAGCATATTTACAACATTTTGTGAATTCACAGAACAAGCAGCAGGTGTGTACCACAGAGAAGCTCGGTCTGGCAAATACAAGCTCACCTACGCAGAAGCCAAGGCAGTGTGCGAATATGAAGGCGGCCAACTCGCCACCTACAAGCAACTAGAGGCAGCCAGAAAAATTGGTAACTAATTTGACAGTGATTTTCCTTCTTTTTTACCTTTGGTGGGGAAAAAAAAATCCCTTCTTTTCTGTAACCCCTTCATAAGATTTCTCTCTCCAGTCCTTCCAATGGTTCTCTAAGCCCCTATGACATCTCTGCTCTCTGGCTTCTCCCATCTTCTCTGCCTAGAGCCAGTGGAAAGTTCTTAGTGCTAGCAACTTATTTGGGGTCACAACCCATTGTGAGCTAATATAATAGAAGTCAAAAAACAAAGATATCATTATCTCAACATCATTTTAATTCCTCATTAATTTTAATGCCATTTCTATTCATTTTTAATACTGTTCTATCTTAACTTCTGAATATGGGTTTCCTCAGCTGTTAAATGTTACTATGTTGAGTTTTACAAAGAAATTTGATTGGTAGAAGAAATACTGAATTTAGTGGCTTTTTTTTTCAAAATATTTTTTTAAAGATTTATTTATTTGAGAGAGAGAGCGAGCAAGCATGCCCCCATGCGGGGGAGGTGAGGGAGGGGTAAAGGGAGAGGGAGAGAGAGTGTCCCAAGCAAACTCCACACTGAGCACGGAGCCCCAGGCAGGTCTCCATCTCACAACCCTGAGATCACAAACCCAACCAAAGCCAAGAGTCAGACACTTAACCCACTGTGCCACCCAGATGCCCCTTTTTTTCCCAATGTCTTTAAGGTCAGTGGGAGAATGCATTTGTACTTTAGGATCACAAGGAAGATAAGCAGGTTATAAGATGGCAGGAAGAAGAAACTAAGAAGATGATGTCAGGAGACCTGGTGCAAACACAGTGATTAACTAGTGCTAGTTCTTTCTTTAAAAAAATAAATAAATAAAAATGCACCATGACCATCTCTCCTGGTGGTTTTACAGGTGGATATATAGGAGAATCCAAAAGGCCACCCCCATTCAGAACTCTCTTCTCCATTGAAGAAACCCCTTTGCTGATTAAAAAAAAATACCTGGCAAAGCTTATGCTATTATATACATATATATAAGCTATATATAGCTTATATAATATATATAGCATATATAATATATGCTATATATAAAATATAAAATATAGCACATATAATATATGCTATTATTATATATTACTCAGGATAAAAATAAAACTGTTCTCTAAAAATCCCCAAAGTCTCCCCAGCACATTGCTCAGTCTAGACCCACAGGGCTGTGTGTAACTGGAACTCAGTAACTAGAACAATGGCTACAAAGGCTGGGGCCATTACTGGCTGTCCTGGACCTCCAGTAAAACCACTCTTGGATGGCAGTGGCAAATATTTAAACATCCTCTGAAGCTGGGCAAGGAAAACAGGGCCGAGGCTTTGTTCAAAATTTATGAGCACATGTATCCTTATTCAAATTTTTAAAAATATTAGCAAATTTTTTTTTTATTTGAGAGAGAGAGAATGAGAGACAGAGAGCACGAGAGGGAAGAGGGTCAGAGGGAGAAGCAGACTCCCTGCTGAGCAGGGAGCCCAATGTGGGACTCGATCCCCAGACTCGAGGATCATGACCTGAGCCGAAGGCAGTCGCTTAACCAACTGAGCCACCCAGGCGCCCCAAAATATTAGCAAATTTTAATTGATCCTGAAATAGAAACTAATTAAATTATCATTTGAGGCACACCTGGGTGGCTCAGTTGTTAAGCGTCCGCCTTCGGCTCAGGTCATGATCCCAGGGTCCTGGGATTGAGTCCCACATCGGGCTCCCTGCTCCGCGGGAAGCCTGCTTCTCCCTCTCCCTCTGCTGCTCCCCCTGTTTGTGCTCTCTCTCTCTGACAAAGAAATAAATAAAAATCTTTTAAAAAATTATCATTTGAAAAAAAATTGCCTTCCAGGATCGATGGTAATTTCAGAAATTATTTCATGGCAATAGATAGGTCAATGGTGAAAAGAAGCCAGCTCTGAACTTGGATTGTTTTCATATCCATGGTATTATGATTTCCAGTCCACCTGCCTCTTTTTTTTTTTCAAGTAAGACGTCATTTTCTAGTAAAAGTCAGATGTTACATTTTATATGTATTCAAACCCTATTTTCTTTTTTAAGAAAAGGGTTTTTCAACAAAATCAAAAGAAAACAGTTTTCCCTCCTTTTACATACCTGGCTTTGGGCAGCTGAGAAGGGGCTGCTTTTGTTAAGATGACCTTCACTCAGCTGAGGGGGTTTACCAGTTAGCCCATAATCCTTTCCTTCTCTTGCAGGATTTCATGTCTGTGCTGCTGGGTGGATGGCCAAAGGCAGAGTTGGATACCCCATTGTGAAACCAGGGCCCAACTGTGGATTTGGAAAAACTGGTATTATTGATTATGGAGTCCGTCTTAATAGGAGTGAAAGATGGGATGCCTATTGCTACAACCCGCATGGTTTGTTACAAATAGTAATTTTCTCTTTGCCGAAACAGTTACATGTTACCAAGAGGTTATTAGATATAAATGGTTCCTTCTCCCAGAGATAAATCAACTTGGTGATGATGATTGTTCATAACAACAACGATACACGGAGTGATTATGCTGGGCCAGACCCCGCCCTGCTGCTCCTCTTCCACAGTCAGTATTCACAACAACTCTGCAAGGAGCTGTTGGTATACCCGTTTTAGAAATCAGGAAATTGAAAGTCTAAGAGCTTAAATAACTTACCGAAATCAGACATCCAATAATTAGCAGGCAGGTAGGATCTCAGATTCAGGTCTTTTCTATGCCACGTCTTTTTCTATTCCCGACCACAAAGGGAAAAAAAAAAAAAAAGCAGTTTATAAATTTGTCACGGTTAATTAGCTAAAACAACAAAGTGATATTACCAAATGTTAACTGTTCAAAATTACCCCTTTGATAGAATGGAGGAAAAAAGAGACAAAATAAACTCTTCCCCTAATTTCTTTTTGTGCATTTTTTTTTTTTAAGATTTTATTTATTCATTCGACAGAGAGACACATAGAGAGAGGGAACACAAGCGGGAAAGCGGGAGAGGGAGAAGCAGGCCTCCCACAGAGCAGGGAGCCCGACACAGGACTCAATTCCAGGACCTTGGGATCACGACCTGAGCCGAAGGCAGATGCCCAACCGACTGAGCCACTCAGGTGCCCCTGTGCATAAATTCTTAAACTTCCAAACTAAGCAACTCTCACTCTATGGTTTGTTTTCACAATTATATACTGGATATACTAGTTATTATTATATAGTATATTTTTATTCATATTTGCCCATGGTTCATTGTAGCTAGAAAAATTTTAAAGAGAAAATTAATTCAACATAATGACTATAAAGAGCTATTCTTTGTTCATGTTCTTGGAGGAAAAAATAGATTGTTCTTTTTGGATGCATTTCCCCCAGAATGATACTACAAAGAATTATAATGTGTTACCAAGTCTGTCTCCCATTTATGATCACAAACATCTTCAGGTGTTGTCCTGTTTCAATCTGCCTTATAAGAAAGCCCCTACAGGGCGCCTGGGTGGCTCAGATTGTTAAGCGTCTGCCTTTGGCTCAGGTCATGATCCCAGGGTCCTGGGATCGAGTCCCGCATCGGGCTCCCTGCTAGGCGGGGAGCCTGCTTCTCCCTCTGCCTCTGCGTCTCTCTCTCTGACTCTCATGAATAAATAAATAAAATATAAAAAAAAAAAAAAAGAAAGCCCCTACAGAGGGATGCCTGGGTGGCTCAGTCGGTTAAGTGGCTGCCTTTGTCCCAGGTCATGATCCCAGGGTCCTGGGATTGAGTCCCACATCGGGCTCCTTACTCAGCAGGGAGTCTGCTTCTCCCTCTCTCTCCCTCTGCTTATGCTCTCTCTGTCAAATAAATAAAATCTTAAAAAAAAAAAAAAAAAAAGAAAGCCCCTAGGGAGAAGTTACAGTGAGTTATAGTCAAGTTCTAGCATATTACTATAGAATTTATTATTCAATGATATTAACCATTGGAGAATAGTTTCTCATGTTTGTAACTAACCTTTATCTCAAAATAATGTGTATTCTAAGTAGAAAAGAATTTTGCCTAGAGCCATCATCTATTCCCACTTAAGACAAAATATTAATAAATATGTATAGTGCATTTATATAGGGCTATAATTTTCAAACCACTTTGACATACATTAAACCTATGTTATATTTAGTTCTATATCTAGTTATTGTTAATAGTTCATATATCTTCTTTTCCTCCCTCTTCCTCTTCCTTTTTCGTCAGTATATTTACACAAGCAACTTTCTTTTTACTCTCAAGAGTCACTTCTATTTCCAAGTATATTCTCTGATTCTTCCTTTGCTTGATAAGCTTTAGGATCTCTGAGCATCTATTCAATCATTTCCAAAGGTCAAGATCTAGGGGAGAGAAAGAAGTGCTAATGGAAAGGTTCTTAGAGTATTTCCTTGCCCTTTTATAAGGACGCCACCTTAACTTACAAATTTTTATAAATTGCTTTTGTTTCTCATAGAGGCTTTTTACTCTGGGACTATTTGTACAGAATCCTGGGAGACTTGTTCTTACTCAGGTCTCAGCTTACTTTTGGATTCAGTGACATGCTGATTTTTTAGGATGTGGTGAACCTGAAGGGGACTAGGGGCCGCCTGAACTAGCACTGGGAGAGGAACAGTTCAATGAAAACTAATTGGAATGAAAAAACATAATGGTATCAAAAAGATACACCAATGACTATCAATTAATCAATAAAATATAGAGCTGAATAGCTAAACAAATTGTTCAATATTTGAATTGTTTCCTAATCTAATGGAATAGACAACAAAGATAGGATTATATGGGACAGAGCAAAAACTGGCACTGAACATGCTTATGTACACGTATAAACTATGTATCATATAATATTTAACAAGGCAATAAGAACAGCTTACATTTTGCATAACACCCTGACATTCTCTTCCATGTTACTATCCTTAGAATAAAGCTGTGAGGTAGGTAATGGGAGAGGCATGATTATTTTTACTTTACCAATGAAAAAACTGAAGTATAGAGTGGTCACAGAGCTCAGACTAGATCCCTGACCTTCTTCTGTCACTCCCCTGTCAGAAATTCTAAGATCCTCTTCAGCCCTGAGGGAGATATGCTTCCTTACCTTCTATGGCATTAGGATTCTAACACAATTTTTTTAAATAGCTCTTTTAAAGGATAATATTCTTGGAAAAAGCCTCTGACTGATTCAGTGAAAAATGTTTTCGAATGCTACCCACAGTCACCACCACCACCATTCACATTATTTTTGAGTTTCTAGACTGTAGACACTTACTTGATCTGAAATTAAAATTAACCAGGGGTTTTCCATACTTTTCCCTCCAGGTCACACTATAAAATCACTGGTTCTGGCAGAGGCTGTTTGATTGTTTGTTCTCATACCAGGTTATAAGGCATGGCAGAAATCTATAAAATGATAAATGACTTGAAAAAAACAAACATGAATGTCTCCATCAAATCCTCAAATACTAGGATTGAAGTGTTAGTTTAAAACCAGTGAAAGGAGTATAGAATGATTATAAATTATTCCTTTTAACTGGATTATAGTGACCTTCAAGGTCCCTTGTGATCCTGAAATTCTATAATGATTTTCCAAACAGAATTTATTGGATTCATTATTCTAAATGTCCAAGTCCATGAGGACACAGTGTTGACACCACAGGACAAAATCCCAGCCATCTTGATTGGGCTGTTGGTAACAGGGGTACACATATTCATCAAAATACATGAACATATACCCATGAGACTTGTACATTCTTTTTTTTTTTTTTTGGTGTACATTCTTTTTTTTTAAAAAAAATTATTTTTAAGTAATCTCTACACCCAACATGGGGCTTGAACCCATAACCCCGAGATCAAGAGTCGCATGCTCCACTGACTGAGCCAGCCAGGTGCCCTGAGGCTTGTGCATTCTAAGCTGAAAAGATAAAAAGCAAAAAAAGTGAACAAGAGCACAATTATTAAGTTGCTATTTTTTTCTTGTTATTTTATTTTTTAAAAAATTCAGTCTATATTCATTTGAAAGAATTTAGCAATGAATAATGAAAATATTCATTTATCCTTTAGCTGTAAGTATATATATTCAATATTTCATTAAAAGTAATAAATAGGCACTAAGAAGTACATATCAGTTTAAAATAGGGATATTTTTTCTAATGCTTTCTTTCTTCTCTTTTTTTTGTTTTATCCATTTCAGCAAAGGAGTGTGGTGGTGTCTTTACAGATCCAAAGCGAATTTTTAAATCTCCAGGCTTCCCAAATGAGTACGAAGATAACCAGATCTGTTACTGGCACATTAGACTCAAGTATGGTCAACGTATTCACCTGAGCTTTTTGGACTTTGACCTTGAAGATGACCCAGCTTGCTTGGCTGACTATGTTGAAATATATGACAGTTACGATGATGTCCACGGTTTTGTGGGAAGGTACGTGTTTCCCCATTATTGATTTTCTAGTATTTCTACTCCCCTACAACACCATATCTGTTTTTAGCAAAGATTTTTCTTAGTATGTGAAGCTGCTGCATGTTCTTATAATTAAAATAGTGACAGCTGCCTTTTGATTACTGTTAAGTTGTAAGAATTAAATAGTCTATTTAAAAAGACTTCAGGGTGCCTGTTTGGCTCAGTCAGAAGAGCGTGTGACTCTTGATCTCAGGGTCGTGAGTTCAAGCCCCATGTGGGGTATAGAAATTACTTAAATAAATAAAACTTTTCAAACAAATAAAAAAATAAAAAGACCTCAGTATTTAACTAACAATAGGAGAAAAAAGACACATGTGAATTGAGAAATCTGTTGGGGATTTTTAGGTATTCTAATTTCTATCAACCTCCTAAAAATAATTATAAATTCAGTAATTACTGTCTTTCTTCTGTGTACAAAGTATTGTGCTAAGCATTATGAATGTAAGAATTAAACAAAGTATAGCCCCTTCTCTCATAAAATTTACCTAAATGTACAATGGATATCTTCTTTAAAATAGCTTTCGTTACCATAAAAAACAAGTGCTCCTTTCCTTAATATTTCTCCCTTGGGTTTTCAACATGCTGGGACACAACAGATCTGTGTTGCCATCCTGAATCTTCAATATAGTTTAAATTTTGAATGTCTCACAAAATATTACAAATCAAAGCATACCTAATTATGTGTTTTATTTATTTAACCCCCCACTTAATAACGCATATCTGAGACTATCCATTATCAATAGACTATCAGTTATCAATTTTCTATCATCCACAACAGTAATTTAATGAAAGAAAATGGTAGTGAGGACAATTAAAAATGATAGACTCAGTAGTTTGTTGTGACTTTGAAATGTGTAACTTAAACACAAAGAGAAAGAAAGGCATTTCTTGCATACATGAACAACAATTTTTGGAGGGAAATTGTTTTTGCTTTGTTTTATTTTGCTTTCTGGCTGACGGACTACTGCTATAGAAAAAAAGTACGAATAGTTTTAAAACATAGTCTGAAGAAGAGATGAAGCGGGGTTGGTGAAATTAAGAGCAAAGTATTTGTTGAAAGAGTGGACATCCTACCTTGAGAGTCAAGATGATATTTTCATTCTAAACCTAGTTTCAGAAATCAATTACAGCCCTAGGTAAAATAATATACTGTTTTTTAAAAGGTTTTCAATAGACTAATTTGTTATTTATTGGATTTATATTATGTGATAAATCCTTCCCTTTTATGTAATGTACAAGGGAGTTCCTTTCAAGTCATAATTCAGATAAAAATCAATCCCTCTTGTAAGGTCC